GCTGCCCTTCAGGTCTGGAACTGAACCTACACCTGTGGTTTCCAGCCAAACAGAAGACAGGCATAACATTTACCTGAGTTAGATACACTCCTTGGAGAAAACAATCATAGAGAAAGAAGGGCTGCCTATGCACAGGAAGACAGCTCAGGGGGTAGGAGTGTATGGAGGGATGGATATTGGGAAGAGGTAACTATGAAAGCTTAGCCACTAGACAGTGCTAGCCAATGTTAAGAGTTTGATTTTCCAGAAACACTAAACAACCAGTAGGTACAAACAGACCAAAAGGAAAAGAAAACCAACAGGAGGAGGAACATTCACAAGTGTAAACTGCTCCAAAATACACTTTATCACTCTAACCATGTAAGATATTTGACTAAGATATTTTTTTTGACTCAAGAATATCCTTATATTATCATCATATGTAAATTTACTATCTATTAAGATTTCAAACAAAGAGAATTCTATTCAAGATTTTAAAATTTTACTGATTGACTTAAGATCTAGCCTGTGAGCCCAATATATCACATATTAACAGTCCAAAGTATACTTTGAAGTTGCTTTTATTTCACCTAGAATATATTCCTTTCAAACTAAATATAAATAATAACTGATTGATATAGAAACGTAGCAATAAATATTCTCATTCATAAATACATCTTGGTGGTGGTGTTAGGTGTCATCAAGTTAATCTACCTTATATTAAAGCAACTGAAACTTGGAATTATCCTATTTCATAATTTCAATATGGTAATTAGTTTCAAGTAATGGTTTTTAGAAGGAACCCTAGTGACTCAGTGGTTAATTGTTCAGCTGCTAACCAAAAGGCTGGCACTTTGAACCTACCAGCTGCTAGAAAGCTAGAAAGATGTAGAAGTCTGTTTCCATAAACATTACAAGCAGGACAGTTCTACTCTGCCCTGCAGGGTGGCTATGAGTCGGAATCAAACCTGCAGCAATGGGTTTAATGAGAATGCTCTTTAGCTTGTAACTTAAGATCGGAATAATCCCCTATAGTTTATTTTGCATTCTTTTATTTGCCAGCACTCTTGCTACTTTCCGTAACATGGAGACTGCATCTTAGGTTACCTTAACCTTTGTGCAGTTGCCTTTCTTAGAGAAGAAAGTGAAATATGTCTTATGTCTATATCTCTACAGAAAATGGGAAAAGCAGTACAATTCTTCCATCATTTATATTATCAACTTGGCCCCTCAAAGCATTTTAAAATTTATGAGAACTAGAAAATCTAGTATGAAGTTGTCAGTCCTAGTTGATTAGTTTTGCAATATATATGTCACCTAATATTACAAATAATATCCCAGATATTTTCACGGTAAAATTAAATATCTGATAGTCACTTTGTCAATGTTTCCAAATACTGAAGCATATCTACTAGAAAAAAATCAAGGCAAATGAATAACATTTAATATTTAAGTTATATATATGTAATTAACTTTAATATTTAAATTCAATATACAATTAAAAAAAAGAACGTTACCTTTCAAAAGATGATTTAGATCCATTGTGTCATGTAAGACTTTCTGTTTATATCTCTGGTCTAAATTGGAATCTAACGATGCAGACTTCGAGGTTGAGGTAAGACTGGACCCACATTTTTCTTTCCCTTTTCTGGACGATTTCAAATGCTTTGAATTACACTTTAAATCCTCACCATTTTCATATACTTCTTGACTCACATTTTCTTGCCTTTTAACTTTTACTTTATGGTCATTTGATGCAGCCAGTTCAAAAGACTGAATAGGGCTGATATCTGGGGTTGATAGAGGAGTGACATCAGTCACAGTATCTTCAGATTCCTCAGCATGGTCAGCAGCTTTTGATTTAGTACTTAAAGGGTGCATTTCTGTTGATTTTATTCCTGGATTATATTTCTGTTTTGGTGATACGAGAGTTGCACCAGAAACATGTTTCTTTAATGATGGAGATGAATCAGATATACAGATATCAGACCCTGTATCAGAACAATCTATATCTGAACTTGACGATGAAGAGGACAAAGAGGAAGAAGAGGAAGAGGAACTAATTTTGGAATATTTTTTATTTACACCTTTTTTAAAGTTATTAGGTGGTTTAGCTGACTTGGACCTGACATGATGTCTTTTCCCATCATCACTGCCTTCCTCGCTATCTGTAAAGGAATTATCTTTACCTTCTTTTCGAATTTTGGGAATTCTCTTTGGAATGGGCAAGTGTATTTTATGTCCTGTGGTAGCATCACACTGTTTTTTTGATGTTGAAGAAGTGTTCAAAGAAGAACAACTTGTAGATTGGATAATATCATTCTCTATACAGTGCTCTTCTAGAGAAATTTTCTCTTTTTTCTCATTTCCCTTTTCAGTATCTTGATTTTCCTTGGTTTGTATTCCAAATTTCAAGTTTACATTTTCTGTATCTTTATCTATTCTTTCCTTAGGGTCATTATTTTGCTTATCAAACACTGAGTTACTTTCACATTTCTTTGTGTCTTCAAAGTCACTGTCAAAGAAAGAATGATCTACTTCACCTTCTGATATATCTCCAAACTGGTCCATGATGGCAACAATATTTCTGAAAAGGAAAAAGTGCAACAATCAGACTAGAGTAATTTCTAAATAAATTTCTCATTTTTACCTACTGCAAAATTTTCCCAAAATGAGAGATTTGGCTAATACATGCCCTAAACACCACTACCCCCAAAAAAGCAGTTCAGTGAACTGATGACTGGACTATACAGGTAATAACAACTGAACCAAAAACCAAAATAAAACAAAATCAAACTCATTACCATCAAGTCGATTCCAACTCAGTGACCCCCACTGCGTTTCTGAGGCTGTAAATCTTCATGGAACTAGACTGCCCAGTCTTAGTTGAACCAATGATATGAAAAGTAAATAAATCTAACAGTTCAATACACAGGATAACGCTAGATTATCAGGGCAGGCATATCATAAGTAAGGATACCTAGATGAACCCTAAGGAAAATAACCTCCTATAAATTCAATACAGTTTAAAATAACAAAGGATGGCTAAGATTTTTTTAAAAAAAATACATATACAGAAAATAACAAATGTTGGCAAAGATATGGGGAAACTGGAGCCCTTATCCATTGCTAGTGGGAATGCACATGTTACAGCCATTGTGGAAAACAGTGTGGCAGTTCCTCAAAAAAACTAAAAATAGAACTACCATTAAAACAACAAAACAACCATTGAGTCTATTCTGACTCACAGTGATCCCCATCCGGTTTCCACGGCTATAAATCTTTATGGAAGCAGACGGCCCCATCTTTCTTCTACAGAGCAGCTGGTGGGTTTGAACCACTAACCTTTTGGTTAGCAGCCAAATTCCTTAACCACTATAACCACTAAAGCTCCTTTAGAGAATAAGCACTTACTTAAGCATTGAGTCAACTGTGACTCATCGTGACCCCCACTGGTTTCCAAAGCTATAAATCTTTACAGAAGCAGACTCCCTCACCTCCTGTAGAACGACTGGTGGGTTCGAATTACCAACTTTTAGTTAGTAGCCAAATGCCTTAACCAATACACCAACAGAGCTCCTTTTAGAACCACCATATGACCCATAATTCCACTTGCAGGTATATACCCAAAAGACATGAAAGCAGAGATTCAAAGACAAACGTGTACATTGATGTTCACTGCAGCACTATTCACAATACCCAAAATGTGGAAACAATCTAAATACCCATCAACAGATGGATGGATAAACAAAATGTAATCCATACACACAAAGCAATACTACTTAGCCAGCAGAAGAAAGAAGTCCTGATACAGGGTTGACGACACTGAGCAAAATAAGTCAATCACAAAGGACAAGTACTGTATGGCTTCACTTACATGAGAAGACAAAAAAAAAAAAGGCAAATGTATAGAGACTAAAGTTTAATAGTGGTGACCAGGGACAGAGGCAAGAATAAGGGGGTGTTAATGGTGATGGAAAAATCACACTGATTAAAGGGAGGACTGCACAGCCAATTGCTCTAATTGCCATAAGCTGTGTATCTTTGAAAAGCTGAAATGGCAAAAGTTGAGTGCTAGAAATATTTACAACAATAACAAAAGAGCAGCTGCTGAGGCTGCTTATGTACACCTAAACTCTTTATAGGATTTGGTTCCTTGGTTTGGAGGTGAGGATCATTGTTTCATGGAGTATCTATTTAATTGACCTAATAACATGTTTAATGCTTCTGTTTTACTCCTAATTCACTGTGTAGTGCCTGGAGTCATAATACCTTGCAAGTGGCCATCCAAGGCACAACAACTGGTCTCTATTCACCTGGAAGAGCAGAGGAAGAAGGAGAATCAGGAATAGGAGATGAATATGGAATGTGTAGTTAATTGCCTCCTTTGCCATGAGACCAGAACTGGATGGTACCTGGCTACCAGTAGGGACCATTTTGACAAAATTCCATAGAAGAATTCCAACTAAAGGGGAGGTGCCGAACAGAATTTCAAATTGTCGTAGAGTCTAGATTTTCTGGAGACTTTTAAGAACTATATATAGTGAGCAGCCATTTAATGTGCAACTATTGCTCTCTCCTCATTCAGAACAAAGAAGAGTAAAAAAAAAATCAAAGACACAAGGACATATTCGATTAGTCCAAAGGACTAGTGTACCATGTGAATCTAAGCCCCCATGACCATGAGACTAGAAAAAGTAAATGTTGCCCAACTACCACTGCTGACTACTTTGAAAGGGTTTACAATAGGAAGTCCTGTACAGAGTGGGAGAATATGTGAAACAAAACTCAAAATAGTAAAAATTATCAGGATGGTCTAATAGAGACTGGTAGAAACCCTGAGACCTTCAGGCACCCTTCAAGCCTAGAACTTAACATACTTCTGTAGCTCAACTTTAAGCAAAATGATAGGCCAGGAAGGTATATACTACTTAGATCAACCAACCATAGGAGAGCAAAAGGGCAGTATTTGCCAGGGATAAAGCTCAGAAGCCAAGAACGGTCCGGAAAGAAGGACAAATAGAAACAGTAAACATGGGGAGGAAATAGGAAGAGCACTTTACATTGTCAGAATTGCAATGAATGTCACAAAACAAATGTGTATACATTGTAAAACTGAAAACCAAGTTCCTCTGTAAACTTCCACCCAAATTACAGTAAAAAGTTTTAAAAAAAGAAAGAATTATCTATATAACAGCAACTCACGTTTAGATAGAAATCTGAGGCAGTAAGTTTATGTTAATGAAAGAGGAACAATTCAGAAAAGAGTGAGAGTAGTTCAATATAATCAATGTCATTAAATCATACATGTAGAAACTGGTTTATGTTTTGCTGTTATATTCTCAACAACAGGAGCTCTTATGGTGCAGTGGCTAGGCATTTGGCTGCTAAAAAAAGACTGGCAGTTCAAACCTACCAGCTGTTCCACAGGAGAAAGATGCGGCAGTCTGCTTGCATAAAGATTTAGTCTTGGAAATACTATGGTGCAGTTCTACTCTGTCGTATGGGGTCACTATGAGTCTGGATTGACTTGATGGCACTGGGTGGGTTTCTTAACAACAATAAAATGAATAAATTAATTTAAAGGGAAAAGAACTATGGTATTAAAACTTCACAGGATTGGCTAAGTCAACCCAAACACACATTATTTAACGAAGATTGTCACATTTGCGTATTTCACTATTTATCATCTTTGTCATATTCTCCTTCACTGCAATTATTGGGTAAGAAGTAGAAAAAAGGAGAAAGTGATGTCTATTAAGGCCCCCCCAATGACTTCTTTAAGAGGAGTAAAAACCCTAAGGCACATATAAAGACTACACAGGTAGTTCAGAGTCAAACTTCTGAATATGAATTTAATTTAAATCCTGATATAACCACATGCAGAAGACAAAAGGGGAAGAATATGTATGTCTCACTGTGTTAAAAGGGATCTGTTGTAAGAGAAATCTCACAGGAGACAGTCAAAAAGTCAAGGTATATTACAGCCTTCTGGTTAGCAGTCAAATGCCTTAGGTACTACACTACCAGAGCTCCCACTTAAAAAAAAAAAAAAAAAAAAGTTAAACATTAGAGAAAATGGATAAAAATGTTCTAAATAGTTGTCTCTAGTGTGGTGCTGGGACCTCCGTTTTTTAGACATTATGTTACTAGTTGATCTGTACGGCTCTGATAAAAAATTAAAATTGTTTTAAAAACATTTTAAGACTCCATTCATCTGGAATTAAACAGCAAACATAACCATAAACTCATATCCTTTAAAAAATGGTTTACTAAGCAATTACAGTCTTCTAAGCAGCAGTGTCACCCTATACACTATTGATAGTCTTGTGTTCAGAGTTTTGACCTCTAATATTATTCTTTACTAAAAAAAAAAAAAAAAAAAAACTAGGGCTCCTTGGAAAGTATTTGATTTACTTCTGGGGGCAAAGGAAAACAAGAAGGGCCTGCAGCATCTTACTGTTCCCAGAAAGCACAAATACATTCAAATACACCTTGAGTACTAGTGATAATGGATCCAGTTTAAAGGGACTTTCACTGGCCAACCTAGGACAATTTAGCAATGAAGCAACAACATAAAAATAATTTCTGTGGAAAGCCATCAGTCCACAATGCTATTCTAAAGGGGCAAATAATGTATGCTAAAGGAAAGGCATATATAAATTTCCAATAATAATATACAGCCAACAATACAATTTTAATTAATCCCATTATATCAAATCAGGCAGTAAAAAATTAAATATAGATTATGTATGTACCTTAATTGTTAAAGTGACCCTGTAATCTAAACAAGATATAAAAATAAGTATAGATATGATTTAAAAATAAACCAAATTTATACTACTAATACCAATGTGATAGGTTACTAAGGTAAGTTAAGGTATCTGTAACAATACATTTTATCACCATTAGAGAATTTTGCCTGTTTTTAAGGCTTTGAAGAATTTAAGTCTTATTTCTTACAAAAAGGAGATCTGGTGGTATGGTATCTAAGCCACCTGACTGTTAACCAGAAGGTTGGCAGTTCAAATGCATCAGCCACAATGCAGAACAAGATGAGGCAATCTACTTCTGTAAAGATTTACCTCCTTGGAAACCCAAAGGGGGTCGCTATGAGTAAGAACTGACTTGATGGCAGTGAGTTTAATTTTTTGGTCTATATTTTATAGAAAATATTATAAAAATTTATTCTTTTCTGACATCATATAAAAATTTAATTATAATCAACTTCTAAACATTTAAATGAATCAAATTACATCAGTAAGTTTAGACTCTTAGTAGATTGATTTATAAGCAATGTCTAAGTACTTGCAAATATTTCCCTTTTTATATTTATAAGTGTGCCTTCCACTATTCATCTCTCAGTTTGTTGTACTGTGGTGGCTTGAGTGTTGCTGTGAGGTTGAAGGCTATGCCACGGGTATTTTAAAAATACAGCAGAGTCACCCATGGTGGACAGGCTTCAGCAGAGCTGTCAGACTAAGAAAGACCGGAAGGAACCATCTACTTCTCAGAGAACTGGCCAGTGAAAACCTTATGAATACCAGGGAAACACTGTCTACCACTGGAAA